TCATTTCTTTCATAGTAGCTCCAGATTTATTTTACTCAGTTCAGAAAGAAAAATCATTTGCTTTGCTTGAGAATGAATTATCATCAAGGAAGAGAAATTAAGATTGTTTCCAACTGTAAAAATTGGTGTTTCACTGAGCACATGTGTGCACAAGGAACACTGCGCGGAAAGTGGGGCATTTCTTTTTCTTTGCTATGAGAGAATCTACTTTTCAAAGTCAGGAGAGTTTTAAAAGCATTTTTCACACATGAAGGTAAAGAAATGGAGGCAAAGAAAATGGTGCGGGGAAGGGAAAACAAGAAGCCCACTGTGAACATTTAATTTCCCCTCATGTATCTCTGGCTCATAAGCATTAAGTTTAAATAAGAATAAAAAAGGCAATCCTGGTCTAAACCATGAAAGGAAAACAGGCATATATGCAGAAATAATAATTATTACTACAATTGTTTACATGGGACTACTGTGACAGTAGTAGTAGCAGCAATACTAGTACTGTAGTAGTAGTAGTACTGTAGTAGTTTTTAAATTATTAAAATGTTGGTGTAAAAATTAATCATTTAAAATTGAGACGGTCTAAAGCCAAAATTATTATGTAGACAAGTTATGAGACAAACGCTTTTTAGAGTTAATGCAGAGTGTGGAAGTATGACCAAACGGATTGCAAAACTAACTGTGGCAGGATCCTAACTTCCCTCAAAATATCCAAAAAGGCTTAATACATCAATATGATTTGTACTTTATAATTAAATAAATGCCAAGTAAATCATTAAAAGAAATGTCAAGACCATCATTGGCAGCTGTTTTCCCTGCTAAAACGGGAGGGAAGTAGAGGAGCAGGGCAGCGAGCAAACCCCACAGCGGTCTGCAAAGTCACTAGTGGGAAAACAACAAAGGCCTTTCCATGCAACTAACACAGATGTGCCCATAGCCAAACTGTCAGAAGCAGTTAAGATGACAGCTACTCACAGTTCATTATTTCCTTCTCACAGGTCACTGGGTGACAAGCTGGGTCACCATGCTTTGTTGGCTGCTACAGTTCTCCCCCCAAACAACTTCTATTCAATTTAAATAAAGGTAAGTTGCTCAATTTAATATAAGAACGCAAACAACCACAACCTCACACTGGCAGGTGAAAAACATGAAACACAGAATCTATATTACTTCTGTACCACGTTGAGTTAGGTTTGTATTGCTGTATCTAAAAAGAACAGAAAAAAATGAATTTAAATTATCTAGCTCAAACAGAGAGCTGAGTAATTTTGTCAAGATTCAACTAAAGCATGTAATGAAAGCTAATTTGTCCCCAATTCAAAGCTTTAACCTTTAGAACATTTATATGGCAGATAAATCATGAGGAAAAGCTTGAGTTTTCAGTGAAAAGATTCACTCCATCATAATTTTCCCACAGAGTACAATGTGGGGGTTAAGTATACTGAAAAATTGATTCATGAAAACAGAAAACCCAAGGTGTTATGTTTTAAGAAATAAAAAATAAAAAAGGGGAAAAAACAAATTCTTAAATTCTTCACTGCAAAAAAAAAAAGGATGGGAAATAAAAGTGCTTTTAGTTATATCTATATAAAGTAAATATTTCACCTGTGATTTATAGGAATTTTCTTTCTATTGGAAAAGGGTAGGTGGCCAATGTTATATAGATCAAGACAAAACCCTGTTAATATTTTTTGCCATTGATGGCAATGAAAGATAAAGTATAACTTTTTAAATTGAATCTTCTGGATTTCTCCACAATAAATACCTGATATGGAACTACTGATTTAGGCGGAAGGGCCAAATTGTAAGGAAGCAAGTGGTCCCATAAAAGTCATAGGGACTATTCATATACCTAAAATTATATAGGGCAATGCATTCTGCTGTGCTTTTAATGTGGATTTCTGCATGCAGGTACAAGCAGGATAAATGTACACTTGGCAGATATAAGTATGTGTAGGTGCAGTAGTAGATGAAGTCTTGGGTGCAGAGTTATGTGAGTGAAGTTTGATTCGTGCAATGGGGCTTCCACCCCTCCTTATTGTATCCCATTGCACCCTGGAAAGCTGCTCCTGAAAGTTGGAGGAATTTTTGGAATAGTGTGGAGTGTGGCATTGGGCAGGGGGGCCATGTGTATGGCAGCTTTGCTCCCTTAAGATGCCTCTACTCAATTTATATTGATCCTCCCCTCTCCCTACGGACTCCTATGAAATATCCCATGACATTCCGGGCTGGTGTGTGTGGCTCCCAAGAGTGTATTTTCCGGTGCACAGCAACAGCAGTGGGAAGGACGGAGTGAGAAAGCCCGACTGTTCTACTTGCACCACCTTGGATACAAGCCATAGGTTTATACTGACAAGGATGTCTCACTTGCCTCATGCAAGATCTTTGCTCTACCTTGGAGTCATTCTATAAAGCCACCCACCATAAAAGTATCCATTTACTGCCAAGTTCACTTTCAATGCATTATTCCATATGACCAACATCCCCCACCTTCTGCCCATTGGATTTTGGGAAGAACTGACCTGAATGGCAGAAGTGCCTATCAGGAGAGAAAAAAATCATCTGCCATACTAATTATTTTGTTTTGGAACAGACAAATCAATCAAATGTGAGACTTCAAGTGCCACTTTGTATTGCAAAGTCTTCATAATAACAGTATCAATTTGTATTACATGAAATATCTTTCATTTACACACACCATTCTTCGGTGTGTGCATCTATGCACTCCACAAATCTTGGCGAATCATTCAATATTGTGCATGTATAATGTGAACTGGGAAATCAGGAGTGGTTCCCAGTATAATGACCTGCTTCTTCTCAGCCTCTTCAATCTTATTTTTAGATTACCCCTGTGCCCCTTAATCAGTGGTGCCCATTGGGACTGACAGGGCAGAATGCAGTGAGACCAACAGTAGGTGGAACAAGAGCCAATGACAGGCAAACTAATTCATGTTTTACCTACGTCCTGCTCCTTGCTGAGCAGAGCAACACAAAGATCTGCACAAACTGGCCCTGCAGCTTTAAAAAATCCTTTCTGAGGTTAACTCTCTTGATACAGCAAGGAAGGTGGCTTTTTCATAGACTCGTAAAATCATAGAATTTTAGAGTTGGAAGGGACCATGCTGGTCAGCTAGTCCCTGTAATGCAGGAATCTTTTGCCCAATGTGGGGTTCGAACCCACAGCCCTGATAATAAGAGTCTCAGGCTCTAGTGATTGAGCTCTCTCAGGTCAGTCCAGAGTTTGTTCAGCTCAAGACTTAAGTCTACTAGGAAGCAGAACACATATTTTTTGGGATGCTTATACTTATCATATGCATAAGATGTTTTGGAATCTCAACACAGCCAGAACTGTATGCCTTACTTCACAGGTTTGGACGGCATGTTGCTGCCTCATTGGACACCTTCCCGTGAATGGCATTAATTGTTCATCAATTGTAGGATTCACGCGGCATGAAACATTGCAGGAGAGTGTTAGTAAACATATCCCACAGGTCACACAAAGGGACAAGCTTGTCTCTCACACAGGTAGTTTAGTGTTGAAGCTGATAATCAAATCTACGGATTTCATTGATTCTTGTGAAGGAAGCCAGTGACATATTGCCCTGGAAGTGTTGAGGGCAACCCTAAACAGCACATTTTGTGAAGATCTTTATGTGAACAGAGAATAGTGGTCAACTAAAGGCCTTTAACTGAGTTATCATTAAGTCCGGCCACCTGCTGGTGTGAGGGTGCTGGTTGCTTGCAAATATCTGCAAATGCAGTTGGGTTCTCAGTGACACCCAACCCACAATAGGTATTAGTAAATTTTGTGCAGAATACTGAATAATTTGTTTCCCTGGATCATAAGGAATGTTGTAAATGGGGGAAATGTTTAAAGATTTAGGTTTGAAAGATTTTTAGAAACCTGTGAGTACTATTTGTGAGGATATAATGAAAGTCAGTGATTTTTATATTATGAAACTATAGAAAACATTGCTCTTTCATCCTCTATGCTCTTATGGACAGAGCATATGTCAGTTATGAGCCCCCGCCCCCGATGTTTTCAAAGAATCTTGTCACTCCCAGGCCCTCATTCAAGAATTTGATCTTTTTACCATACACTTTTCTTTCTTTTGCAATCTGTCAATTCTGAAATGTCACCACAGAAGGTGCATGGTGGTAGTCATAAAAGAGGTACTCTATGCCTATTATGTCACCAATATTCAGAATCCCTGGGGTTGTTTCATCAACTCAGTGCAAAAAGTTGCACCATGCTGCATCATCTGACCAGAACGTTGCGACATAATGAAATGCCCACTCAGAATACCATTCCACATTTCATGTTCAAATCCTAAGTAGCCGGGAAAGATGGGGAAATTGCCAAAATGCAAGATTGAAATTTAATAGATGCCTCTATGATCAATCTCTGTTTGAACATAAAACACAGTTTCAAAGCCCACATCCACTCTCAAGAGAGGGAATTAATATATAAAATATATTTCAATATTATGCAAAACATCTCATATTCATGCAAACTGCTTTGTGAGTACTGGAGCCTAAGTACATCCAGTGAGTTTATTGTCATATAACACCCAATGCAGAAAAAGTGGAGGGGTATATGTAATATTGCTTATTAGTTTTGAATTTTAATATTGCTGTTTTACCTTTGTATCATATTATAGGTAAAAATGTATCAAATGCATAAATGATGTACTCATAGAAAATTAACTTCAGTAGAACAAAGCATGTAACCAAATCATACACTTTACTCTTCTATGCATAATAAGTTAACAATAATTACCTCAGTGATCCTCTTCCATAGTGTACACATCAATCTTTTTCTTTTTTAAAAAAAAACCTGCATAAATGTCACCCCTTTCCATTAGTTTTGGTCAAAACTCCATGTCTGCTTGCAAGCCAGAGGGCTTCTGAGATATTTCAATAATATCCAGGAAATCAATCTTACATGAAACTGAAGGAAAACATCTAATGTCATTGAACAATAAATATCAGTTCTGTCAGTGGCTTACCTTTGAGCTGAGGCCTTAGGATGTTTCTCTTCTAGTTTCCTCACCAGTGCCACTGTCAGCTGCCTATTCCCCCCTGAGGGACCTTCAGGCCTTAAGTGGGCGTCCAAAGGTCCTGAAAGTTGCTTCTCATTGCAGACATCATTTTGCAGGACCTATTAAATTATGAGCAAACATACAATGAATATATATTGTGCTCCATACAAATATTTACTTTGGATAAGCATATTTTGGCAGGTACATTTTAACAAGTAATGTTATCCCATGGGGAAAGGAGCTATTGGGGGGGAAATGTGTTTGTGTGTGATTGTATGTTGCGCTTCTATTTCTCGAACATGTGTATGTAATTAATATTCAAGTTAAACCCCTCCTCTCTCTCTTTACATACACAGATACAGAAATGGTTTGACTTGAATATTGATATTAAACTGTGAAGGGCAACAGCATTTCCTTTCAAAATGTTTTTCCTTAAAAAAAAATACTGCTCTGACCTGCCTCTGGCTTAATACAGTGACCTCTTCTGCTGCATTGCTATCTGTCTCTCGATGAACTGGAGACTGGGCCCCATGGTGTGTGCAGTATTCCGTCTGGGTCACCTCCTCTCTTACATTTAGCTCCTCTAGGTAGGTCAGGACAAACTCAGGGTAAGCCTGTAGGAAAGGACAAAGGCAGAGTAGTAACACATACCAGGATGCAATCAGTAGAAAGACAAGCATCTACAGTTTAGCACAGGGAATTATGGGAGGAAAAGTTGCTGGTGCTAGGCAATGACATTAAAAGATATGTTGCATCTACACAATTTTGTTTACAACTTCCATCCATTTGACTAATGCAAAACTTCAACTCTACACAGAATGTAGAGAATAATTATACAGACTGTAACATGTAAGTATTAAAAAAATCACTAAGACCCTTCTAGATGTTTGCCGCAGTTGTTGTTGCTTTAATTGATATTATACAGTGGTGCCCCGCAAGACGAATGCCTCGCAGGACGAAAAACCCGCTACACGAAAGGGTTTTCCGTTTTTGAGTTGCTTCGCAAGACGATTTTCCCTATGGGCTTGCTTCGCAAGACGGAAACGTCTTGCGAGTCTTGCGATTTTTTCCGCTCCCCCCCCTTTTTTCTAAGCCGCTAAGCCTTTAATAGCCGCTAAGACGCTAATAGCGCTAATCCGCTAAGCCGCTAATAGGGTTGCTTCGCAAGACGAAAAAACCGCTAGACGAAGAGACTTGCGGAACGGATTATTTTCATCTTGCGAGGCACCACTGTACATGGGCGCAACATGGCCTATATCCTCCTCTAACCAAACTTTCCTTTCTGATCAATATATTATTCCATCACTGTAGTTTCTGCTCAATCCATGCATATATATATACTTAGTGCAGAATTCTACTACTCAATTTCCTTTCCCACTTCCAATCATTTTTTTTCTAGTTTTTTCTTTGTCTCCCCACACATTTCCACTTTCCATTTCCCATGCTCCTTAAACATGACATTAGATTTCTTTGGATGAGCATCATGGCGTGCCATTCATTGTTAAGGGTCAACTTAGCTCACAACTGGCATTTTCATGAAGGCCTTTTATAAAACTTCTCAAAATATATGCCAATGGATGGCTACTGGATAGGGTGGAACCCTTGCTATGCCTGCAGAATATGAGTTATGTCTCTGTGATGATATGAATGTTACCACATGCCTAGCTTAGTGTACTTGCTCTGCTGACAAAGGATCCACTGGCATAAGGTAGAAAACAAGCATTCTTCTCATTGAGGCACTGAATAATGTGATTGGCTGTTCACTGCAACTTAGCTTTCCCTTGAAGCAGCACTAAAGCGCTCTCCATTTTTAAAATTGAGAGAGATGTTGAAATTCTCCTGTTTCATCTTATTAGTAAGCAACACTGCCCCCACTGAAAGTCACTACAAATACTAAAGTTTTCACTGACCCCCAAAATGAAGCAAGCCTTTGCTTACACACTTTTTGCCCTCAAAACCCATTCCACCGCCAATAAATCATTTGGTCCAGTTTTGGTGCAAATGACCCATATGTTCCTTTTTTGTTGCTGGGGCTGAACCGAGGAATATTTTTCGCCATACCCTGGCACCACCTGGGTTAAGGATTAGCAGCCCAACATGACGTATATTAATATCAGGGATTATATGAAAATAGGGGCTCTCTAAAATACAGTGGCCTAGGCTGCACTGCAGAGTTCTTATGCTTACAGAGTGCATATTACATCTATAATTTCCTTTCAAACTTTGTTATTTCCTTTAAGCCTTTAATCAGAATAGATGAGATCCTGAAGTCATTTTTCTATGAAATAGTGCTTTATCTAATGAGCAATAGAATATTTGGTACGCTGTAAAGGAAATAAATGAAGACTTTCCGAATTTCAAAACTAGGGCATTCTGAATATATACTGTTACGCTAGGATCACCTGTTGTTTAAAGACAACTTTCTGGTCTCTTTACCAGACGCAGGGCTGAAGTCTATGGGATTAAGGGGCTGAGCCTGGTGTGAAAGGGGTGGCACTGTTATGCTTTGCACTGAAGTGTTGGAAAAGTACAGGTGCAAAAGGCAAGTTGTTCATCTTAGATATGCAACTGCAGCATGCACCGCCAGATAACACTATCTACACAAAGCAGGCCGGCATAGATAAACCTAACCACAATAATGACTACACCTGTGACACATGTGCCAAACAAGAACTAAAAGTGCATTCTGAGCAAAGTCTCAAGCAAGTGAGACCAGCTACAGACTACACATCAAGTCAACTGTATTACACATATATATTAAGGTAGGCATATTAAGTAATTAGGCATTTTGAAAACATTCTAGAAAGAATTTCACCACTATACAGATGACAAACCCCAAGGCTGATACTAGTTCCAAAGACAATCAATGAATTCATGGCACAATACTCTAAACAAAGCAAATCACTCAAGAAAAAGTACCAATTTGTCCACAAACTAGATGTCAAGTTATATAGAGCTGTAGCCAATGTCCCAAGAACCGAAGTCTGGCCAGGCTTTCTTGTGTCACCTTTCCTGTTGCGTTCCCAAGCTCCACACCCACCCACAGCATCTTAAGAGGGCTGCAGTGACATGGAGAATTGCTGAGAATAGGGTAGAAACAGATTAAGCAAGTAGGAGTATTTCAGTTTAGGAATACTGATTTCTGGCCAAGATCAGTGCTGCACCATTTGAGGTTAGACTAAAGCTGAACTTTGATACACCTATAAATCAAACCACAAATTAATAAGCACAATAAAATCAACATTTCAATGAATAGTACTGATTAGAAAAACGGGAAAAGAAAAATGCAAAGCTCACAGCAGTCAGAAGTTTAAGGAAAATATTATCATAAAATGCTTTTATGGTATTCTTAGAGAGAAATCAAGCAATGCAACAATACAAAAGGGAGAAAATATTTATATTGTTCATGTAGGAGGCCATATTTAACCTTTCATGCATATATGCCTTAATGGTATCCATGTAGGAGTCTGAAGATTGGGAATAAATAGGGTTTTTTTTATTTTAAAAAAATGCTTATATATCTCACACACCTTAGGACGGATACAACCATCATTTCCAAACTCCCAGTGTTGATATATATTGTTTTTGTCTCTGTAAGAGAAATATTTCTTAAGTTAACCATCATCAAAAGCATACAGCATTTTCTATTTACAGCACAACTTACAGCAGAATTCTATGCATGATTTGCCTGGAAATAAATCCCACTACACTCAGTGAGGCTTACTCCCAGAAAAGTGTGCACAGATTGTAGGTTTATAACATATTTACTCAAAAGTTAGTTCCACTGAGTTCAATGATTCTTATTTCCAGGCAGGTTGGTACAGGACTGCAACTTTAGATATCATAACTACATTTAATAAATAATTCCACTTTGGAAATCTCTGTTAGTTTTAGAAAAGGAATTAGCCTGGGATTGCTAAATAGGAACAGTACTTGTTTAACCACTTCCAAACGTGACCTCCTCATAAAGGAGATGCTTTTAAAATTTATAATTCACCGGACAGATATTTTTGAACATCAGATACTTTACCCTAAAACTGTAGACAACCCCAAACCAGAGATCCAGAACTGACTTGGCACAAGATGTAGTGAATTTTAATTTGTGCTACTGCTGATTATGTTATGTATTTTATGAGACTTGCTTTCAGTGTTAATTAGGAATTATGTTTAATACTGCCTTATTTTGTTGTGAATTGCCCTGTGACCGTTTCTGGTAAAGAATGGTACAGAAATCTCTGAACAAATAAATAAATAATGGTCAAGAACTTGGATGGCTTCGAAAGGGTTTTCAACAAATTCGTGGAGCATAAGGCTAACAGCAGCTACTAGACTTGATGGCTGTGTACAATCTCCAGAACTAGAGGCAGTTGTTGGGGAGCACAAGTGGCAGGGTCCTATTGTCTTCTGCTTGTAGGCTTCTCAGAAGTCACTGTGAGAATAAGATGCTCCACAATATGGCCCTTTGGTCCTTATTCTTCTTTGTAACAACAACAACAAAAATGAAATGAACTCTGATCTGAGTAAATTCTAACAATCTGAATTTTCATTGACTCAATAAATTTGACTCTCGTATCTGTTCTCCATCCAGATGCAAGCTCAGCACTAGAAAACAAAAGTAGGTCAATCTAACCGTGCTTTCTCCACTGGGAAAAAAAGTTCCTTATAAAGATTCATAAGGAAGATTTCTCTCAAACTGGGCAATTGTGGGATGATTTCAAGACATTTTGATCACATGAATCCTCCACATGATGCGAATCCTCCACATGATGTACATCACAAGGTGAGAGAATATAGCATCAAGAAAAGGAGCTTCTGACTTGGTGAATGTCACATGCTTCACATAACCAAGTTCCACATGGGTGACACTGAGAGGTGACTGAACAAAATCACCCTGGGCTGAGAGGGAGGGTAATTTGAAACCATGCTAAGGTTAAATGGGTATGGATTTAAGTTTCAGTGGTTCAACAAACAATGGCATGGATCATAAAAAGTATAAATGGGAGGAAGTTCCTGTTGCACAAAAGACCTTTTAGAGTCATGGAGCTCCCCTGAAAAGTGTGGATATGACATGGGGAGGGGACTGCATGTGGTGGGGTAGATTGCCAAAAAAATCCAGTGTAGTATCTTTTGTGGCCAGGGCGGAGCTTGGGGTCCAGGTGGTATGGGCTGTTGTGCCAGCTGTGTCACCTTCTAGACAGATAGCCTGGTCAAAGTTATGCATATTGCAAGACATTATATATGTGACTGCCACTGAAAACGGCTTGAAAACTGCAGTTATTGGGGGGGGGGACTGATAGGTTACTTTGGGAATGGTTGTGGGGAGCACATCTTGATAGCGCTTAAAGAACATCACTGGCTCCAAAGTTTGGTCCGTTTCTGAGCACAAGAATAACATTTTGTATCTTGTACCCTGTATCTGTGTCTGCGTATCTGGAGGAAACATCTCTGACATAAACCTGTCCTTGAAGTGAGGTCATTTTTGGAAGTCTTCTACCAGGTGCCCCCAGAAGATGGCCTTTTTTTCTTATTTTTACTTTTATCTTATTTTTACCTTGCAGGAACAATTTAGCCTAGCTCTGCGACTGAGCTGTAAAACGTCCACCAAGAAATCTATCTACACACCCAGGCTGCATCTTTAAGATCCATTGTAGGCTATTACATAACACGTGCATTTTTTTATCTCTTTTAAAGGACCAAGAAACAAAAGAAACACAAGAACTACCACAGCATAAAGTAAAATATATGTGTCCTTGTTATCTGTCTATTTTTTTCCCTCCTGTCTATTGTTGAAAGAACTTTCAAAGGTGATTTAAAATATGACACTAAAGTAAAGGCTATGCCTTTACATGAATTTAATAATCCAAAAAGAATTAAAGGATGATGATAATTTTGAGATAATACAGTTTCACTCGTTGAATGACAAAATCTGTAAGCACATACAGTATTCTGGTAACATTCACTTTATCTAAATGACTACATGTTTTCACTTTATCTAAATGATTGTATGTAAAAACCAACCCACCCTTGTATCAATACCTTTTCTGCAGACACAGCTTATAGCCTTCAAGAGGTATCCCATCCTGCATCACAGCTCTGATTGGATGACCAACAGCTAGGCTGCTTTGTACCATAGCTCGACTTAGAATCATTCCAGCCTTTCAATGAATGGGAAAAAAGGTTTTGAATAAGTTAAAAGAACCAGAAAATTCAACAATGTGTTACAAATAGAGAGGTCATTATGCCTGGATAGCTCAGGATATTAACAGTTGGAGAAACTGAAACACTATCCACAACTTAGCAGTCAATGAGCCCTGCTCAGAACCAGTGATCTTCTGTACAACAAGGGTGGCATTTTACAGTTCAGTGCAAAATAGAACAGACCCTTGATATCTTCATTTGTCCTTTTCCTCTGCATATTTCACAGTGCAACGATTTAGGGTCCATAACGTGTCACTTGCTATACTTATAACTACAGAGTTTACTTGAAATATGTATGCACAGGAAAAAAGTTCAGTGAACTGCAAAGATTGCAACAAATCTAGAGCCATTGAGTCAATTTAAAGTTTTACCTCAAGTCTAAAAGAATGTTGGTTAAACATCCTTAAAGCCTTTTGTTTATATAGATTTATATACAGAGAGAGAGAGATATACAGCAATTCTGAAACAAGTAAAATAGCTGTTGCAGGTGCAATCTTTCATTGCTTGTTACATTTTAAAGGCTAAATCCTAACACTAGCTTTGGCAGTAAGTCCCATTGAAACAAGAGGACTTACTTCTGAGTAAAAACAGCTAAGTCTGGTTGCATTACAGATTTTAATATTAGCTATCAAATGCAGGGGAATTGTATGGCCATTTTATACTTAAATTACTAGATTTTAAATTACCTGCTATGCAATGTCAGGGGAATTGTTAGCCATTGCCACGTGACCCGGAAGTGTCTCCGGACAGCGCTGGCCCCTGGCCTCTTGAGTGAGATGGGCGCACAACCCTAGAGTCTGGCAAGACTGGCCCGTACGGGCAGGGGTACCTTTACCTTTTTACCTTTATATGCAACTTATCTATGGTTCCTGCTTGCAGAGGACTCTAGCCACACTACTGACAGGCAACACTACCACTGACAGTGACACCCCAAATAGGACATTTGGGGGATGGATCCTAGGCTGGTCCAGCTCCCAGAGAGGGCGGGGGGAGGCTGTCTTCCTTCTGTCCTAGCTGGTGCAAGCGGCAAGGCTTCAGATGGAGTGCTGGCTCTTCTGCCTTGCAGCTCCCAACTTTGTCCAATAATTGCTCTTTAATATTGTTACAGTGATGCTCACTCCCTTTCCAAATATGCAAGCAATGAGTTTTTTGATATCTCAAAAGGGAACAGTGTTGTTATGCTATGATTCTGCTCATGGTGGCAGCTGACTGCAGTCAATTCAGCCAACATATTGTAGTTCAGCACAGAGGATATAACCACAATTAACAGATTAATTTGCTCTTGGCTTTGATCATCTATGCCCCATCAAAGTCAACTCCATTTGTTTTCACAGCAAACCGAGGAAGGCCATGGGAGACATGGTGTAATATATGCATGATGCTCTTTGTTAGTTGTGCAAGTTTTACTTATTTTTAATATTTAACTCAAAATCCCCAAAAGTAAACTAACAATCGGAACAACAAATCTTTTTGCATATCAAACATCTGAATCCATTAATACAATGGATGCTCTGCCTTTTCACTATGGTACCTTTGTGATCAGCCACATGTTAGACAGAGGCCAGTGTGCTATGTCGAATGTCAGCTCTCGGCGGCCATTTCTTCTGGGAGCATCTTTCTTCATCTTTTCCATGTTAACTGACATGAGAAGAACCATCTGGGAATCAGCCTACACCCAGTAATAGAATGAACCATAGAACTTTCATTGATATGTTAGCATGGTAACACTGCAAATTACCAATAGAGAAAATTCTGTGTAACATTTCCTATTACCGTAACCCAAATCAATTATTTTAACAATCGTGAAGAAATAGTATGCTGTTATACTGCCATTGAAGCAGTCTTGCCTCCTACATTTTCTTCATTAGGGACAAAAAAAAACCCGTATGCCCAAAACTTCACTCAAAGTGCAATCCTATACATGCCTATTTAGAAGTAGTGGGACTTACTCCCAGGTAAGTATTATAGCATTGTGGTCTAAATATGGGTATGGAATGAAACATGCACCACCAAAACTCGAAAAGGAACTAACTCTGAACAGGTGAAAATGTTATTGGAAGGGATGTTAGGATAATAGCAATGAGCCACCTTGCAGGGTTATAATTGTAATAACTGAGACACTGTATGTGGGTCATTTAAACACGCCAAACCTTTTAAATAATACTTAAATATTAATGTTTTTCTGGGCTACTGTTCATATTGGAATGGCATATTCAAAATGCTATCAAAGACAAAGAGCAAAAGCAGAGTTGGCCAGAAAGATACTCAATTTGCTCTTACCTGTTAGCCAGCTGCTGCAGTACTGAGAAGAGATACCCCATCGTTTTTGTACAATGGGAACTAATGTTCTGCTAATCCCACACTAAAGGCTGAGGGACTTAAAGCCCCAAATGTACTTGCCCTCTCCATTCTAAGTTGTGATCAGAGGCAACACAACTGTGTGGAAGATTGTCATAGTTGGAATTAGCGACAGATATCATTAGGATGTGTATAACACCTGCTGTAAGTCCCTGTGTCCTCATAGCAATGCCACTGGCTTTAATCTTATCACATTTGATTTTGTGGTGCAGTGGGGAGGAAACATTGGCCCCTTTGTATTCATTTGAGGTTGGCACCCAGCACGAATACCATGCTGTTCTTCAAGAGATATAATGCGGGATATTACCAAAAAAACACACACCCCACCAGATAAAGAAACAACACCACATCTTTCTAACCCAGCTTCAGGTGATTTTATAGTTTCCACAGTGTGTGGAGCAATAGTGTAACAGATACAAGGAATCACAACAGGAACATATATATATATATATATATATATATATATAATATATATATATTCTTTATAACTTCTTTTCTTATACACATCCCATGTTACTGAACTGGAAAAGCAAGGCAAGCTGTATGTCATAATATGTTTTGCCCCATAGAACAAAGACAAACCTTTTGATGAATATACTAAATTTTTAAATAGCACAGTATCTGGCAATATCTATATATTTTTGAAGCCTTCACCAACAGCATAATAAAAAAAAAAGGTTTGGACAATGGCTGCCAGCAGCAATAAAAGAAAAGAAAAAAGTGTTTCCCATCATCCACAACCATAGTAATAATGCTTCCTGCACCACATTATTACCACATTTTAAAAGTAATTAACTAGGGCTGAGTGGGAAAGGGGATAACAACTTTTGCAAACATTTTCATCAGAATCAACAATCACTTTCTTGTTGTTGATTATATCAAAAAGAGGTGAAAGTATTCATCTATTCTGAGTGAGAACAATGCTTCATTAATTTGGTTTGCCAAATTAGCATGTGCGCAAATGTGAATGAGTATAGTACACAGTATTGGCACATCTTCCTCATAACTATGTGATCCCGCCCTGGCCCATTTTACCCAGGAAGAAATTGCGTTGGGGGGGGGGGATGGCACCATACAGAACCAGAAAGGAAGTAACTGGTAGAGATCAAGACTAACACTGCAATTCAAACTCTAGTGGGGCAGCAGCAGCCACAGCTCTGCCACTCATACTGGCAGAAAGTGGTGTGTGTGTGTGTGTGTGTGTGTGTGAGAGAGAGAGAGAGAGAGAGAGAGAGAGAGAGAGAGAGAATGAATTACTGCACCAGCCTAGAGCTGTCAATGGGCAAGTGATGGCGTGGTATCCAGGGATTCCTGGTTCATTTCAGCCTCCAGAATTGTCAGGAGCTCATCCTACACCTTGAGTAGGACCCTGGCAGAGACACATGCCTGACTGGCATGTTCTTTCCCTTCCTGGTCAATCGTTTGGGAGCTTCCAAAAGCTTCTTCTGCCCGAACATCACAGCGACCGATGCCAACAGACATCAGCACACTTAGGGATCCGCAGAGTTTGCGCAGTCCGCATAACAGAACTTAGTAGCTCAGCATTTGGCTAATCTACATTTATTCACATATAAACACACATGGAAGCACTGCAACATGGCTCCCCCCCTCTCTCTAGCATCAGACAGCAAAGAGAGAGAACAAAGGACAATAGTCCCACTTCACGAACAGAACACAAACTTCCTGTCTCCATCACTTCCCAGTTTGTGGAGTCAAAACATACACCGTCATGCTGAAAGACAACAATTCCATGACTGCAATCACGGGGAATGAATCTTCAACAGACACCATTCAATAGGAATGGGGAGCTCCATACTTGCAGAGAGGAAAAGGCATCACTTCATGAGAAAAGGCCTAAAGTTGACAGAGTAAGGTGTGACCAATCCACCTCTCTCCCAGAAAACAGTACAGAGGGGATTAGGATTGCAGCATTCTCATAATTTTTGATAAATAAATTTCTCCCCAACACCTCCCTTCTCAAAGTGGGCAAATGACTCATATGGAGACCTGGTCATAACATTTCATTTGTAATACAGTAGAAATTGTGTTTTTTTGGGGGGGGGTTTACATCCCAGGGGTACCATGTAAAGGCAAACTTGTGTAAAGTCAGAATGACTCCCTGGAACAACCCTGGCATGAGAAATCTTACCTTCTGGAGTCAGCACGAGATCTTCTAGGGCCAGGCATGGCCAAATTTGGCCCTCCAGCTGCTTTGGGACTACAACTCCCATCATCCCTAGCTAACAGGACCAGTGGTCAAGGATGATGGGAATTGTAGTCCCAAAACAGCTGGAGGGCCAAGTTTAGGGCCATCCAAGATCTTGTGAGATCTTGCAAAGGCCTCCAGAACCCACATGTGACCTACATAGAACCCAGAAAGCAAGGTGGAGAGCTTTTAAAAGATGAAAGCCTCAAATCCTATTCTCCACACCTCATGAATTACCGGTACTTATCTGCCAAGCTTTCTTTTTCTTTTACTCATTTATCCACAAGTATGCATAGAAATAAAATATAAATTATAAAAATCGCAGCATATTTTATGCAAAAAAAAAAACCCCGAGAGATTCACATTTAGCATATTTCACTGCATATAGACTTATTTTTGGAATAAAACTTTCTGATTCTCTGAATCAGCTTTAGCTATTACATTGCAAAAAGTAGTTTGTCTTGCAGCAGTTGTTCTGCATTCTAACCCTACCAAAATGGAGTACAGTCTGCACTACAGACTGATCCTATATGAAGCTGCCTCAGTGCAATGTTTCATAAGATCACACCTTAAGCCCAAAACAAATGATTGTGCTAGCCATCTATGCCAGCTTTCACTCCCCAAGGACTGTTCAGATGTTTTGGACTACAATTCCTATTAGATCCAACATCACACAACCATGACTGGTGCTGATATGAGTTGTAGTTCTAAACATCTGTAGCGCGCCAGGTTGACAAAGGTTGCTCTAGTCAATGGTAAATGTTATGCAAGTGCTCACTGATAGATGGACTGTAGACAGAATGTGTGCTCTACAGAAGTTACAATAACATTAATGGAATTTGAAGATGCAAATATGCATTCATACTATTAAACATTTTTTCCTCCTTCAATAGAGCAATTTTAAAAAACTGTGATATAATTAAAACTACCCTCTGCTTTTATTAAGAAAGCAATTGCACTGAAACATACTGAACAACAAGGACACTGCTTCTAATACTGCTGTTATCAACACAAAATGCCAGCAATATATCCCAGGTCATAGATACATGGCCTAGCTTTCTCAACAGTGATAAAAGAGCAACAGGCTGTAATTGTCTGGGTTATCTCTATCCCCAGATTTACGAATGTGGATTATATGTCACAAATTTTACTCTACTGGAAAGGTTTTGCCTGTCAATAAAAGATTAAATATAACAGTCAGGGGTTGAGCATTACTATCTATACCTGACAGCAATCTTAATGTGTGAGTATCCAGAACATGAGACTTTTGCCTTTTTAGTGTGTAATCCTCTTAGCATCTTGTACACCTCAGTGAGCTTTAACATTAGGACATTTTTTTAAAAAATAAAATACTATTGGTATCTGCCCCTGTGCCTTGAATTTTGCTTTCAAAAATTGCTCTTGAAGGTATCAAATTACTATTCACAGCAAAGGGTTTACTCTCTTGAAACATAGCTGTTGCTGTGCCTTCTAAACACATATTAAGACATCAAAGCTTGACTATATTCAAAACTGGTGTTAATGTTTATGCTACTTAAAATATTTGTTTCTTTGGTTTTGCCTCGTCTTTTATTTTTCTCTATCAACACAAATTAACCCTAGTTATCCCATCCTACTTATACATATAATCTTATACACGATATAATCTTATACACGATAATCTTATACAGACTTTTGTATTAAAATGCTACTTTATCTGGAGTGTGCCTATCCAAAACAGCAAAGGTGTACTCATTTTACTGTGCTACTGAGCCACAATTATGTCAAAAGCAAATCAGAAGCTAGATACACCATGTTTATCTGCAGTAAGCAATGAGCTCATATATCCAAATAGGATAAAAATTGGCTATAATTCCAAGAGTAATGGTCTACAACCATACACTTTTGTGTTTGGTTTCTGAAAGTAGAGATTAGAACAAAAGGGGGAGGCGCATCACCTTGATCCCTAAAATCACATTTTAAACAAATTTGCATTCTACTAACAAACAGCACTACCTTTGATGGCCTGAGACTTGTGCATATTTGAGGGAGAATCTCACAACTAGTTCACCAAGGTGACGGGACAAGGGAGGCAAAGCCCAGTTCTGGAATTATACATGGAAGCAGTTAGCAAACAGCACCTGCTGGAACAAGTTGTCTCTTCCCTATGACCTGTCCAGGGTCCTGAAAGATCTATCTCAATCACTTTTGTTTTTGCTTCAGCTTTTTGTCCTTTAGTGCGTTGTTTTTCAACCACTGTGCCGTGGCACCCTGGGGTGCCTTGAATGATGGTCAGGGGTGCCGCAGGCAACACTGGCCTCTGTCCCTCTTTCTTTCCCTCTCTCCACTGATGCCCTCTTGTATATCTGCCTCCCAAAGGCTTGCGCAGCCATTTGTTGCAGCAGCCTTGGCTACAAGCTCCGCAGGCAAGTGGTGCCTCTGTGACTGGCTAGGGGGTGCTGGTTGCTAGGAGCTGAGGTGGCCTTGGAGTACGCAAGCAAGTGGGTGAGGGAGCCCAGTCCACCAGCCCTTGCTGTTGGGAATGGACAGACAAGTCTCAGGCCCCTGTGGGGCAGTGTGAGGAGGCACCTCTCTTTGGAGCGTGGGGGCAGCTCAGAGACCATGGGCAGTGGCAGCGGCTGCCTGGAGGACTCCCAGGGGAGAGAGAGAGGACGTGAGGAACTCCACAGAAGTTGTTTTAGAAGTGAGAGGATGAGGGGAGACATAACTGGCTCCACAGGTGCCGTAGAGGATGTAGTTGATAACAGTTGTGACGAAACATCTGAGTGGTAGTTTTCTTCTACTGCCCCTACCTGTTTCAGCCACTTTAGTCCGCTTTATTATCATTTATGCATAGACACCCTCAAAAGTTTCGAATAAATAAACATTCAAATAAAAACACAAACAACTAAAAAAAGCATGAAAAACACAGAGGAAAAAATGGTGAATAGATGGCTGGGAATACAATCTTGGTGTATTCAACATGGCGCGGTATTGCCAGTGGATAAGCGGCTTTAACATATGTATTTAAATATATTATTCAAGGCTAGTGGGTGTGGGTGTGGAGAGAGGAATCCCCTGTACCTGCAGAAGCTGTGCCCAAGACAGAGAGCTTAAAAGCTCTTTTTGCTCTGAGTAACCCAAGTAGACCAGGTACGAAAGGAGCTTTTAAGCTCTCTGGCTTGCTTGTTGGGCAAGGCCTCTTCTCAATGCAGGCTCTGGGAGTCTAAAGATGCTCACATGAGATCTCACAGGAACTCAGATGCTACAAAAAGAGCTTTTAAGCTCTCCAACTTCCTCAGATTTAACTTGTACATTTTCAGTGAGCCTGCCTTCAACTCCATATAGTTGATAATGTGTAATTTAAAACACACATAAGATGTGGCAATATCCTTTTTTCATATATATATATAGAGAGAGAGCGAGTATATTCCTAGAGGGCTGAAACATTTAATTTGCAGATCATAGTAAAAAATGGTGCTTTATAAAAAATAACCTTCACTGCTCACCTTATATTGTATAAAATGGTTGTCTGACTCCACAATTTCCGAGGTTTCACATTCCTGATGGTTTGTGAATTGAATGTTACCTGGAAATCCAGCACAAGCTTCCCAACTGAAATGAGCAATAAAAAATTATTGTCATTTGAGAATCAAGAAGAGCCCTGCTGGATGAGGCCAATGACCCTCTTCTCTCATGGCCAACCAGATGCCCATGCAAAGTCCACAAGCAGGACCCGGGAATTGCTTTAATGTTTCTTCCAAAGTATAATGCGGATTCTAAATCAGCTCTCTGCAAGTTTACTTAGAGCAGTTATACTATATTGCAAATTTCTATAATTCCTCGCAGCCTTCCAAAAGGAAGAGGAGCTGAAATTTTAGTAGTCCAGGATTAAAAGATCTCAACTGGTGACAATTATTTGTATTTTTAAAAGCCAACAATTAACTGCAAAGACATATGCAATCACGTTGAGTTTGGTCCGAAGGTAGGTCTGCTCATACAGGGACAATCCCAGTTATTATTGTCTCGCTAATGCACGACAATATTTTATTCCCTTATTTATAAGGGAAGAGCTGCCAGTCACAGGGAGGGAAAGTTACACTACTGTGGTTGGCTCAGAACCTGCCTACTGCCCCTGACACTGGATGGCTTTGCCCTGACAGCAATTGTATGCACAGGCAATGCACATCTTTCTGTAGATTGTATAGACATGCATTATATCCCCTCCCAAGGCACTTTGCAATTTTGGGCATTTGCACTGCTCATAGCCCTTTCATCATAGTGACTAATAATTGTAAGGTCCTAACGTTAACTGCATAATGTGCATTGCTATCAGCCAAATGAGGTGAGGCAGTGGCCAATAGGAAGAGTGGCTTTGTAATGGTGGCACCCCATTTGAGGAATGCCCTCCCCAGAGGCTTCCCTGGGAACAACCTTGACTTTTCATCACCAGGTAAAGTCCTTTTTATTTTCCTCAGGCTTTTTTTGTTTCAGTGTGTTTCAATTCTTAACAGTATTTAGTTTCTGAACTTTGAAAAAGGAATGAAGGAATAAAGTGTGTGTGAAATAGTTCTCTTGATCCAAGTTTTTGTGACTATTATTTGATATAAGAAAGTGATCTTTTGGCCATTCACATTTTAGTACATTAAAAACAAATGGCTCAGCTAATTTTAAATCAACATTGTTTACAGCTCAATTCTATGCATATTTACTGAGTTCCATAGCCCTTACTCCCAGCTAAGTGGGCAATACCACTGCTGCCTTTGCACTATGATAGGGTAGCCAATCAAATGTGGTCGTCCAGATCATCATCTTCCATCATTTCTGACCACTGGCTATGCTGACTGAGGCTGGTGGGAGTTGGAGGTTTGGAAGGCCACAATTTAGCTACTCCTGCACTAAAAAAGGCACAATTCCTTATTAAAATTAGCCACAAATTATTAAGGAGAAAGTGCCATATCTTCACATCTAAATCATCCATATATATAATGGAAGTTGGAGGTTTGCTGAGTGTACTCCAAAGTAAATAGCAACTAACGTGTTTTGATGCTAAAGCAAACGTAAGTGTTTCCTTATAATAGTTATAGCAACAGTTGCAATACACATCAACATTGGAATCCCCCCTCCCTTCCCCCTCCCCTACAATTTTAGTGCTTCAGAAAACTCATATAAATGTACTTGTCACATCCAGGCAGTAAATCAACTGTGGGATCCAGAAGTGTTTTATAAATAACTGTGGTGCCATTCTTTTCAGCTGCAGCCACTCTGTCAAAGGTCAAACTCAGGACGGGATTTATGGGAGACCTGAAAAAATGGAAATATTGTTAAATATGACCTTTGGTGGGGGAGGGAAAATAAGCTGCAGAACCAGTCATTATATGTATATGAAGCAGCAAGCACAAATACTGAAGTTGGTAAAAATTAATTTAGCAACAAGACATTCAAATCTATACCTCTTTCTGTTTGACGCTAAGAAAAATTTGTAATCTCGTAGCTACTGCCCCATTGAAGTTCCAGTGCTTTCATGTTGCGAATTAATTCTCACTACAAGCTAGCTTGTCATCTTTATTAACCTACAGGTTATAAACAGCAAGGAAATTGAATTATTCCTGGAATAGTGAGTCATCTCCAAGCAGAAATAATTGTTGGGGAACAAAGAAAAAAGAACTAAAACCAGCTCCAAGGTGATCATCTACGAAAGAGAAAATACAGTTGCATTTAATGAAGAATAGGGCACATGCTCACACTGGTGATTTTCTTAAACTATGAAGCTAAAATGGAGAAATGGGGGGGGGGGGAAGGTTCTCCCTTCAGCAGAAACCAGGTAATAAGGGAGACAGCATTCCTCCTAGAGCAGTGCAGATTCTCTCTCTCTCCTCAGTTTTACACCTTCATCATTTCTGAGGGCCGACAGGCTGAGCATGGTGTGTGGTGCAAATTACGAGGTTTAGTTATGTCAGAGAAGATCCAATGTGGTTCTGACTTGCAGTTTTCCAATGGGGCAAACATGCTCTTAATTGCATTAAAAACCTCACAAGACAAGCATCAACTGGTGAGTAGTCAAACATGTGAAACAATTGTAAGAAATTGTTTGGTGAGAGGTCTGTAAAAGTAGCTGACTGATAGTCTTCTTGGAAGAAAGGGAAAGGGATTTTCTATTACCGGGAGAAGCTGGCTGGAGTAGGGCCACGGAGACTGGCACAACCCAAATCCCTAACAGAGCATTTAGATTATTGAAGGTGACAAACTTTGAAGGAAGGAATAAAGGTAGACTATAAGAACAATCAACTAAGATTATCTCTGAGCAGATGTCAAATCCGTAGTCAAACATCCTGTCATGCACCATAATAAGTGATGTAATATTTGGCAAAATAAGTCTGGAGATTTTGTGAATATGCTCATAGATTCATCAATTCTCCACTTAAACTGCTGAAAGCTTTTGATGACTATGACAAATAAACAGGACTTTTCCTTAGAGAAACCAAGAGGTGAGCTACCTTCTGTGGAAGGTATGAATTAACAAGGTATGAATTGGCTGACTAGGCAGAGTCCAGAAAGGACAACAGCATCATGATGAGGCCAGAATTCCCTGTAATCATGATGTCAGCTTGCCTGTCATGCAACCGTGGACAGAGTAAACAGAGAAAGAGGCTTGGAGAATTGAACAATGAGAGTCAGGAAAACTGTAAGAACTCTCACAACAGAGACATTTTTGGATGAAAACTTTGTGGTACCCCAAGGAGAAGGTGGAAGCTCTTACTCTTATTCCACCAAGGACAGGAAAGTACAGGGTGGGTTCAGTACCTCTCACCTGCGAACCCCCCCTTTTTTTGCTAAAACTTCAGACACTCTATTCTATACTTTTATACAATTGAGGCAGTACTAGGTTTTAACAGATCTGCCCAGTTAACTTGTACTTCTGGGTGGTAGCCTAAGACTGTGGGAAAGGTTCGGCCTGTATCATTACTAACACAACTGTATGACATCTGAGAGACCAACAGACAAGTGTACAGATTTGGCAAATGCAACTAGCAAAATGGCGCCAATCTGTGAGCACCTAGAAAGGAATGCTGTGATCACCAATAGTCAGCATGGATTTCTGAAAAATAAGTCATGTCAGACTAACCTGATCTCGTTTTTGACAGAATTACAAGCCTGGTAGATGAAGGGAATGCAGTGGATGTAGTCTACCTTGATTTCAGCAAGGCATTTGACAAGGTGCCCCATGATATTCTTGTAAAGAAGCTGGTAAAATGCGGTCTTGACTATGCTACCACTCAGTGGATTTGTAACTGGCTGACTGACCGAACCCAAAGGGTGCTCATCAATGGTTCCTCTTCATCCTGGAGAAGAGTGACTAGTGGGGTGCCACAGGGTTCTGTCTTGGGCCCGGTCTTATTCAACATCTTTATCAACGACTTGGATGATGGACTCAAGGGCATCCTGATCAAATTAAAGTATTGCACTTGGGCAAAAAAAATGAGAGGCACAAATACAAGATGGGGGACACCTGGCTTGAGAGCAGTACATGTGAAAAGGATCTAGGAGTCTTGGTTGACCACAAACTTGACATGAGCCAACAATGTGACGCAGCAGCTAAAAAAGCCAATGCAATTCTGGGCCTCATCAATAGGAGTATAGCATCTAGATCAAGGGAAGTAATAGTGCCACTGTATTCTGCTCTGGTCAGACCTCACCTGGAGTACTGTGTCCAGTTCTGGGCACCACAGTTCAAGAAGGACACTGACAAACTCGAACGTGTCCAGAGGAGGGCAACCAAAATGGTCAAAGGCCTGGAAACGATGCCTTATGAGGAACGGCTAAGGGAGCTGGGCATGTTTAGCCTGGAGAAGAGGAGGTTAAGGGGTGATATGATAGCCATGTACAAATATATAAAAGGATGTCACATAGAGGAGGGAGAAAGGCTGTTTTCTGCTGCTCCAGAGAAGCGGACACGGAGCAATGGATCCAAACTACAAGAAAGAAGATTCCACCTAAACATTAGGAAGAACTTCCTGACAGTAAGAGCTGTTCGACAGTGGAATTTGCTGCCAAGGAGTGTGGTGGAGTCTCCTTCTTTGGAGGTCTTTAAGCAGAGGCTTGACAACCATATGTCAGGAGTGCTCTGATGGTGTTTCCTGCTTGGCAGGGGGTTGGACTCGATGGCCCTTGTGGTCTCTTCCAACTCTATGATTCTATGATTCTATGATTCTATGATTCTATGAGTTTCATGTTTATTAAAGGGATGTGCTGCATGTAGCAGTAGAGTTTGTCTCACATCACAAAGTGTTCATAGGCTACACCATCAGCTACATCTGAATGCATACGTATTAATAGCAATAGTGGATTGGATGGAACGTCTTCAGACTTAACGTCCAGTAATTCTAGCAAATAGCAAATAATTGCTCAGGCTACTAAAATGCTGTCTGCAGTGAATGTTTGTGGCTATGATAGATGGTAACTATGCTGTCTGGGTGCTTGTATCACACTCCCTATAGAATACTATTTGGAGATGTCAGTGATTACAGAACATGGCCAGTAGGAAAAGCTTATTTGCTGAAAAGAGGGTAGAAGTTGTGCTTGCTCCTCAATGAGAGGTGTGTGTGTGTGTGTGTGTGTGTGTGTGCGCGCGCGCACACACACATATAAGCAACGCACACATGCAAGCAACATACACACGTGTGTGCACGCGCACACAGAGCTAAGTGGCTTTTTAAAACATAAGTTGGACTTTATATAATATTTTACAATATTTGGCTATGGCCAAATGAAATAAAGGAGTTAAATAAAGACTCAAGAATCCAAAACAAACTCCGCCCCCAAAATTCCTGATGGCGACAGAAGGCAGAAAACCGAGACCCTGTTTCAATGCAGCGATGTCCTTTACAGGAGTATTTTGAAATGCTTCTTGCAGTGTTAACATATGACAAAAGCATTCTCGTTGAAAAGAAAAGGACAGGCCTGTTTGAAACTATGTACGTAAAATGGAGATAGAAATACAAAGTTTCAAAAGCAAGCTCCTCTGTCAAGAAATTGGTGCTAGAACATATGTGACATCCCCCGCCCAAAGAACTAGATAATCTCCACAGAGATGAAATGACACATGTGAAGCAGCCTTTATGCCAAGATCAAAGAAAGAGTGAAGGAAAGTGCTTTTTAACAGGGTGATGTAATAATCAGAATTATTGATTATGATCAAATAATAAAATCCATGCTATTTTTTCTTAAGATTGCTTATCCATAGCGTTAAAGCTGGGATGAAAATAAAAATCTACAATACCTATTTTTCTACACTTCACGTGAGTTAGTACATTTGCTGCATTTGACAGCACCCTGTGTACAGGTATACTGTACATTTCTTCCTTATTTTGTCTAAATGGTTCTTTCATACTGCAATGCCAATTTTCAATAAAGCAGCAATGCATCTTGTAGTTCTAGGTCCAATTTGTGAAGCAGCCTTGTGGACATGACTTCAAGTTAATTTTAGCAAAAAGAGTCCACTATATATTATAATTTCAACCTCAGGTATTACTATTCAGGAGATGACTTGCCGGCAAACAACATTTCTGAAAAGACTCTCTATTCTCACAAGAGGAAACAGACACTCCTTCAGAGAAGAACTGCTGTTCTAAATCTGTGTCAACACAATTACAAGGATGTAAACTGTACATAAGATACTTTATACGTAAACTTAATAAATAGTGAGCCAGATTCCAGTTTGGTACAAAGAGAATTAAATTACTCAAGTACAAGCCATGTTACTCCTTTTATAATTGAAAAATAATTCATTGTGAAATGAATAAATATTTTTAACATGATCAGCATGAAGACAAATGTTCTTATTCTGAACTATATATGAAGATCATTCCATTCTGCTCAGTTTTTGGAGTGCACTTAAAACTTCTGCTCTCAAATTGTTCTACTGTGCCTGTGCTTACATCAAGTTAAACTCACTGCTGCTCATAAAATGTCAAACAATAGATAAGTAAACAACCTTTCACAATCAATCAACTATTGAAACAATGAATCATTTGCATGCTTACAAAACATAATGCCAAGAAATAATTCAAACATATAAAAATAAGGGAAAAAACCATCTTAAAAGTATGATGAAAATAACATACCCCCCTATTAACACAAATATTTTGTTCTTTTGGATGATTCATTTCCAAAGAATTATAGCTGCTGTTTTGGTTCACAATTTTTTGACAGGGCTCAGTATTAACATTTCTTCATCCAAATAACATGATTAACAGTACAATAATAAATCACTACAACTGAATGGTATATAAGAATTCATATATGAAAAACAAGAGAAAAGGAACATTTTAAATAGAATAGATTGTTAAAATTTTGAAGTTTTATTTCCCCTTTCACAGCCACATTGATCCTTGACAATATCTTTATAAGACAATTTAAATTCGAGAAGACATGCCAGTTTCATGGTTACCATAATTACTTTGCAAGTAATCATTGAAGATACTTTATGTGAGAATGGCTATCATTTGTGAGCAAATCTTAAGGTATGCAGGTAGGGTCTAATCAGAATATTGTTTATTGACATAAAGGATGTCATTATAGAAAGGAACCCTTACCAACTTCTGTATATCATATAGCATATATAAGCTACATGCTCTAGTTGCAGTATTCTACAGGGAATTGAATTTGACAGTAAAGTTAAGGCTCAGGTATTAATTTTTTTCTTTGTTTTAAAAAACAGTGTGAGGTGGAAGAAAATAGCTGTATAATATTCATCTGCAGTGCTTAGTATCGTATTTTTAACACATTGTATATATACTTACAGCCTTCTCACTTTTCATATTAGTCATAAAAATAATTTCCCAGATCTTGAATATTATTGAGGCTACAATTCCATGCACACCTACATAGGAGTAAGCCCCATTAAACATTGTGGAACTTACCATGGCACAAACAAGCATCGGGTTGTGCTATGATTGTACCGATTAAAACAAAGGAAAGGGCAATTATATTGGGTTCTACAAATTTCTTATCTCTTTATAAATTTACATAAAGCGCCTGGTATTTTTTATTCAAAAATGTAAACAAAACCAGTTGTAGAAAATGAAAAAGCAACGTAAAAACGTGGAAATATTTTTCGGTTCATGGGTGTGGGTGTATATCCATAACATAAATAAATAAAAGAAATCGTACATTGCAGGTATAGCACATCAAGTGTATAAGCATCCTTGGCTTGCAGCTGAATAAATAAATACAGATATATCTTACTAAAACACTTCTGCCACACACATAAAGAAGTAACTTTTTAGGATATATGTGCTAGTGAAAAATTAATTCACTTCATGTCTATTGCAAGGCAAACTCTGAAACACATTAATTTTTGCTTCTGGAACTAACAATAATTGTGTGGATTTTTTAAAAGCCCATTTTCTGAAATGCTACAAATAAATTAACTATTGCATGGACTTGGTGCCTCCCATTTTTAACTATAGTTGGTCAGATTTTACAAGTTTTACCAATTTATTTTTCATTCTACCATCACTGGTGCTCAAAAGGTTAAGACTTTATTTGTGAAAACATAGAGCAATAGTAGGGAATCATGTTGTCTACAGCTTCATAAATCTTGCTTAAGATCCTTTTCAATTACCATCCATTTCTCCTTTAAAAAGGGACAAAAAAATAGTGGAGTGGAAACAGGTCAGGGCAGTCTGTGACAATGACAGTGTGATGGGCTTGGACCCCCTGTGGTGTTTCCATCTGCTATCATTAAGGTGACTATTCAGACATGAAAAAATCCCTCTTGCTGTGCTGACAGGCAGACATCAAGAACTATGACAAGGCATTAAGACAGAAAGTCAGAGACAGAGATGTCATATTCCACAAACAATACTGTCTCAAACAAGACCTCTGAAATTTTGTTGGAGTTTACAATAAAAATAAAAGGGATTTTACTTGGAGGTTATCAAACTTCCCTTTACAGCAGTTTGACAACACAAAGATTGCTGACAGTCACAGAGCTAAACACTTTGCTCCTACCTGTAATCTTCACCATAAGAAACCCAAATTTTTTGCTCGTTCTGCAGTAAAAGTGGGTTTTTAATTTCTTGTCCAGTCTCGTCAAAAAGCCGGGTCGGAAACCGACTGAGGCCTGATGGTTTGAAATCTGCTGAATGTTGAAGCCTTTGGTGAATCATGTGCTGTACCTGGTGGTGGAAGATATAAAAAATAAAATGGGAACATCTGTAATAAATTGTTTGTACTCCATAACCAGTGATGTCCAAACAAACGATAATTAAATTCATATAGAATGTTAAAAGAAGTGTGAAATGACTGCAATGTTTATCTCAGTGTAAAGTAACAAAATGAGCACAGGCTTTTAACCAGCAGGGGGTGCAACAGGATTATGGTTGAGCTCTGACCCCTTGGCACACAAGCTGAAAGCAGATGTGACAGTTGTACAGAACAAGCAGTTAGCTTCTACATACTGTAACAAGCTTTCTTGATAAAGGTTATGTTTTCCCAGTCCACATTTGGAGCTACATTTTGCTGCTGTTTTTCCTGAGCTTGTTAAGGTCTGACAATTACTGTGCTCCCCACCATCCTCCTGCCAAGCCATTGATGATCAATAGCTGAACAGGGATAACGCAAGACTCATTTAACAATTTCAGCGCTGTAAAAATATACACTGAAGCATGGCCAAAAAACAAAAAACAAAAACAAAACCCACCACTCAAGCCCCAAACCATGCTCTCCCAGAGAAAATAGCGCTAAGCAGTTTAATTCAGTGGAATATTTAAACAAAGTATGTTTTGCAAGACAGTTCAAAAATCCACCCTGAATTCATTTGAATTTTATACCTTAAAATATAAAAAATCTCCTTTTAAGGAACTTTTAGAAATCTATTATGTAGCAAATACTAGTACACTGCACATTCTGTGATCAATTTTCCATTTCATGGCATCGTAATGATGGCTCTAAATATAGTCACTTCATTCCACATGCCCCTCCTAGTTGTCACTCTTCTCTGAGTGCAGAAAGCTCTTTCCAGTAGATTGGTTCATACTCTATTCTCCTTTGCCAGCTTCTGCAACTGAGCATATCACAGAGGCCTCAGATACATGACCATATTGTGACAGTATTTATAAAACCAGTGGTACACCCCCAGTATTATTAACAGCTGTTGGAACCATAAACATGACACAGTAAAATTATCTCTTGCATTAGTGCAAGAATTCCAATAATAATAAATACTCACAGCAGTTAAGGAAACATCACAATCTACACAACAAATCACTGGTCATGTTCTTCCATATCTGGGATTTATCACTTTCAGAGGTTACCGTATCACCTATGGCATACCATCATGTTACTCTGTCAATATAGTTATAAATCTCTTGATTTACTCCTATACATACAGATGGTCAATAAAGGGGGGGTATCAGTGGAGGCATTTGGCTAAAGAGGCATATTGGCTCCCTATATCATGATTTGAGGTGTCCCTCATTCAAATCTAAACTCAGCCACAAAGCCCACTAAATTTCCCCCAACAAGCTACTAATCTTGCATTCTTAGCTCTCTTTCATCTGCAATATAGAGATAATAATACTAGTCAACTTTACATGGTTATCCTAAAGATTACAGAGATATTGGGTGAAATCTGATAGTGTTCACATGCAACCAAAATGTATTTCCAGCAGTCCAATAGGATTTCCCTTTCTCTCCCCCCCCCCATACACTCCCCAAATCTGCTACGGAGGGTTGAGGGACCCTCCAGAGCAGATCTGGGGACTGCAGGGGGAAGGAGAAATCAGAGAATCAAAAGTTGGAAGGAACCACAAGGATCATCTAGTCCGACTCCATGCAATGCAGGAATATTTCACCACTTGCGTGGGGTTGGTAATGTATTTGAATGTATCTGATTCATTCAAAGCTCTTCCATAGGCGCCGACTCCATGGGGCCTGAGGGGGCTCGAGCCCCCTCAAAAAAATTTTGGGGGGGGCTCAGCCCCCCCAATAATCTCGGGCGCCCTTCCAGCAGAGCGCCGCCGCCGTCCCCCGCCTCCTCCCCACCTGCTCCCTCGCCAGCCAGCCAGCCAGCCGCGCGCCCTAGTCGGAGAGCCCCGGCCGTCCCCCGCGAGATTAGGGAATCCCCGGGGGCGGGGGCTCCTGCCTCGCTGCTTCGCAACACCACCGCCACTGCCAAGGCACTGCCGGGGGGAATTTCCTTCCTCCTGGCGGTTTCAGCCCCCGCGAGAACGACCGGGTACCAATCGGCTGGCTGGGGGTGTGTGGCTTGCCCTATTTAGGGCCGGAGCGGAGGGGGCTCGCCCTCTCTTCTCCGGCTAGCCCCACGTTTCCCGCATATCAGCTGTTCCGGAGCTGATTAATAGGCGCAGCACGCTCTCCCCTATTCGCTCACGAGGAGGCGGCGCCACTTTATTTGCATATTCATGAGCTTATTTATTATTCATGAGCTTTCCCGGGCCCCCCCAATATTTTGTATAAGTCCGCGTCCCTGAGCTCTTCAAATACAACATACTCTGACAGAAGCGAAACAAGTGAACAGTCACATCTCACTATTTTAATGGTTATTATGTTAGCCTCTGCATGTGAGCACTGAGAAAGGGTGGCTCTGCTATGCAAGAATCATAAATAGAAAATATGCTGTATGTGGGAACTGCAAAATAAATCCCCAGAATGAAAGCTTCAAGTCATTCGAATAAATGTATGAACTTAGGGAAGTATTTCCTCGCTTACCCTCTCCATAGCAGCACTGGGTTGGTCCCCAGGATTGATTTCCATTTCTTTTCTACTGATGTAAACAAGAATCTCGCCAGTATCCTTGCCATTCTCATATACCTTCAAAAATAAACAGTAATTAAGTAAATGTTATGCAAGTTATAGATCATTACAATCAAAATGGCTTAATCAGAAAATTCAGCATTCACTTATGAACAGGTACCAAGCCTTCAGCTCTCACTACAAAGTACATTAGTCTGGTGCACATAATGGGTTGATTTTTAAAAAAATCATATTGGATGCTTAAAGCTAGCTAAAACCAAGAAAAATGCCCTCATTCTACCAAAAATGTGTATGTGTCTGTTTTCATAATGTTCACTTGAATTTTCACCTACAAATACATGGAAAGACTCCTTGTCTAAAGGAAGCTTAAGGAAACGTGACCTATGTAAATGTTTACCCTGGAAATAATTTAGGATTATTTCGAATGTTAGTCATGTTCTACATATAAGACATTGCTGAGCAGCGAAAAGCATGAAAGAAGCACAGAGAGACTTGTGGCCGCTCTTCCAGTGCATGTACCATAGATGAAAAATGCAAGGGTGTACCCATTGCACCTGATGAATTGAACACATTTTTATGCCTCACTGAAATGTTCCAGTTCTGTTCCATTCATTTTAAAGGAGCTTCTGCAAGAGAACTTCCTGGTGCATTGTGCCCTATGGGTCAATCCCTTTGTCTCCTACTCACCCAACAGGGCCCTTGGATCACAAAGGGAACGCACAGACTTTGGATGACTAGCATGGTTACCCAATGAATTAGATGTTTGCCAGTTAATTGCATTATACTGAATAAATGTAAATCTATTAAATAACTAAAAAGGGGAAAAATACTTGGTTATGAGAATATTGACAAACCATTGCGATCTGTATTTTTTGCTGTAGTGCCGGAATGAGAGCAAGACTGGCAATGTCTAGCAACGCAATAACAGCTCCCTGAGAGACAGTGGGGAGAATGATGCCTGTCTTTAGAGGCTTTCTTGCGTCTTATGGAGCACGTGTTGAGGGCTGCTGTGAAAAGAGTGGCCAGGTGTTCCTCATGAAAGGAGAAAGAGAGGCCAAAAAAAGACTGTGTTCTTCATCTCTTTGCATTGTCTCCCTTAATGCCAGGGAACTCACAGCTGCAGCTGACTGGGTTTCAGGAGATGTGGCCAGAATACTCTGCATGAGACCTGGGAGGTCTAAGGATTCAGGAGCCTTCACAGTACCAGAGGTGGGCTTTCCCAATCTTGCTAGCCTCCTTACTCTCAGGGGAAAGAGGCAATACCTTTTCCCAAGATGGCACCTGATGACTGCATCTTTGTATACACTTTGCATACACTTATAGGTAAAAAGGTAAAGGACCCCTGGATGGTTAAGTCCAGTCTAAGGCGAATATGGGGTTGCAGTGCTCATCTCGCTTTCAGGCCGAGGGAGCCGGTGTTTGTCCACAGACAGCTTTCCGGGTCATGTGGCCAGTATGACCAAATGGCTTCTGGCACAACGGAACACCTTGATGGAAGCCAGAGTGAACAGAAATGCCATTTACCTTTCTGCCACAGCGGTACTTATTTCTCTACTTGCACTGGCGTACTTTCAAACTGCTAGGTTGGCAGGAACTGGGACAGAACAATAGGAGCTCACCACATTGCGGGGATTCGAATCGCCGACCTTCCAATTGGCAAGCCCAAGAGGCTCAGTGGTTTAGACCGCAGCACCATCAGCGTCCCTATACACTTGTGCATTCCATATGCACACATATCTGCTCCATGGTTAGTTTGGGAGCACCTTTTAAACATTCAAAAGGCCTTTAACCAATCAGCTAAACACTGCACTCATAGAAATTACCCATTTCTAGATAAAGGGTTGGGACGCAGGTGGCGCTGTGGGTTAAAGCCTCAGTGCCTAGGACTTGCTGATCGAAAGGTTGGCGGTTCGAATCCCTGCGGCGGGGTGCGCTCCCGCTGCTCGGTCCCAGCGCCTGCCAACCTAGCAGTTCGAAAGCACCCCCGGGTGCAAGTAGATAAATAGGGACCGCTTACTGGTGGGAAGGTAAACGGCGTTTCCGTGTGCTGCGCTGGCTCGCCAGATGCAGCTTTGTCACGCTGGCCACGTGACCCAGAAGTGTCTGTGGACAGCGCTGGCTCCCGGCCTATAGAGTGAGATGAGCGCACAACCCTAGAGTCTGTCAAGACTGGCCCGTACGGACAGGGGTACCTTTACCTTTTTAGATAAAGGGTTACTTTTGACTGAAAAGTGCCAGTATATATTATATCATGCTGGTAAATAGCCACTTGACTGGTCACCTGTGGCAAGAATTGATGCTATGTAGTCAGGCAGGGAATCTATATACAAATCATTGTATTCAAAGGACAATGGCTAATGTAGCTATGTGTGTGCAGGGGGGCTAGTATAAAAAAATGGGCTAACAAATACTGTAGACTTATAAATGTATTTGCAAGACACTGTTATACACTAAAAAGCACAAAAGCTAAATGATTCCTACTGGCTGAATCAAGTCAACTGGAACAGCACACTGCTGATGATTTGGTGTGCCGTGGGTTAGAAATGGGTTCTAGGGGTAGGCATCTAGGAAAGTTTGCTTTGTGTCAGTTGGCACTGCATGACTACAAGTTAAAGAAAGAGCATCAACGGAAAATAGGTGTCATGTGCTGCAGCACTTTTGGCGATCTCATCATTCCTCCCTTCTTGAAAACTGTGCATAGCTGTGATTCCCTACATTTTCTGTGCAGATAATTGACTGAAGAAGCAACAAGGAGAAGCATCCTTAGAGATTAAGTGCTTTTAGTTGAAGAAACCTGCATCTGCTACATATACAGCTTTAAAAACTTAGAGGGCATATAAAATAGCTTTACTATAATCTTATCTAAACAAAGTGGGGTCCAGAATGCAGCCCTGTCTCACTCCCCTGGTCATCTCAATACAATCTGAGAGCTGACCCTGCAGCCTGGGGATATATATGGCCTATATATGTATATGGCCTGGGGAAGAGATTACTTGTACATCTAACCAATGAGGAGTTTATCAGCCCATGGCTGAAAAGTATGGCCAGAAAAGCCACTTTGATTGGACTGTCACCATCTGTTTTGTATCAACTGGGCTATGAAACCGCCATTGTATCCCTGAGGCAAAGGCTTTGGGACATCTCACATAGCAACCTGCGATCCAGATCCAATGTAATCTGTGGCCCGATTGCAGCTGGAATCCAATACGGGCATGACTTTCAGTTAGCCTCATATCTTAGGAATTTGTCCATACCCATCTATCAGCATTTATTTACCAAAGCTAGATTAAATGTATTTCCATCGGAAGTTCTAAATGGTAGACTGAGAGGCATCCCCTACCAGAATAGGCTTTGTTTATGTTCTCAGGACGTCAATTGCATGAAGCATATCCTACTGCATTGTGGGCAGTATGAGCAAGCAAGGGATCAACAGATCAAACCCTTACTAGCAAATTTGCCGGGAAAATCTGAAGCCTCCCATATTAAATACCTTCTGGAGGATAGGTCAAATGATATTACACTGACTGTGGCAAAGTTTCTTTCAGAGGTTGCAAGACACAAAGACCATCATGCTCTAGACATAACGAAATGAGTCCCTCGGTCTCTTTTGCCTGTTTTGGTTGTTTTAACTGTATCTTGTTTCGAAACTGTTTTGCGGGTCTATGGACCACAATAAAGATATTTGATTTGATAATCTTACCTATAAAAAGTTTATATTTTACATACTATACAGTGGTACCTCGGCTTAAGTACTGAAGCACCACTTTAGCTAATGCGGCCTCCTGCTGCTGCCACTGCGCGATTTCTGTTCTCATCCTGAAGCAAAGTTCTTAACCTGAAGCACTATTTCTGGGTTAGCAGAGTGTGTAACCTGAAGCGTATGTAACCTGAAGCGTATGTAACCCGAGGTACCACTGTATAAATAATTAGCATGAGATGCCTGTTTTCTGCAATTGCCAGTTTTTCAGTGCAGAGCTGAAGGAAGGCACGAAAAAGAAAATGGAAGTATAGAATGTATGGCTATTTTTATTCCTGGTGAGAAAGAAGTCTATCTCTGGGGTAAACAAGAACAACAGGAAGACATGAGATCAGCCAACTTATATAATATCAACTTCTATCCAGGAGTATGGAAACATCTACTATTTGGGACCACACTTTCGTTAGACATCTTAAGTCCATTATCACAGACTTTTGTAAGAAGTGAGATTACAGGAAGAACACTGTGGCTATTACTTCTTTCAGTGTTTCTACAATGTCTGAAAATGCTCGGGCACAGTGGAAAACAACATCTCTCTAGACCAGCATGTTTCCAATGCCAGCTGCCAACCTGAGAAAAACTAGTGACAACACACAAGGGCCACATTAGTTCCTCCACCACTACTAAACAAACTGTTAAAAGTTCTGTTAAACCTCACAGTAGGTGTTACACTAAGAGCCACTGAGCAGTACCTATTTCCTATATTACAGCCAAAACAATTTCCCACCCAAGTGCAGAGAAGCGAAGAGAGACATAATAACGCAAAAATAGAGGGGGATGATAGTACTCAAGCTGAACTGATGCTTTTGCTCTTTCTTTTGTATAAGTCCTGGGCTACCTTAAAAATAAAAGGCACTGCAATATTAAACAAGCAATGCCTATAAAACTTTGGTGGTTGCTGCTTTAACTTCTATACAGGAATAAGTCCTTCTCATCTGTTGTCAGAACAACTGCATGTGGCTCGAGGAACTCCTTGTTGAATATATATACATATACATACACACACACACACACACACACACCTATCTATCTATCTATCTATCTTTGAATACAGCACAATGAAATCAACCCAAGTTTTGTTCTAAACCATGGTTTGGAGGATCAAAACCATGACTTGTGGTTCGAGGACCCGTACCCCGTGCAGTGGAATGAAACACAAGGACACGTGATATAAGGTTAATGGGCAAGAAAAGGCCACAACTTTATTGATTACAGCAAGTGAAAAGGTATTGGCTTAGGCATTGGATTACGTCAGCTGACTCCACCCACTCGGAGAGGGGTGAGTCTAAAAAACAAGGGGGGTTTATTCACCAGTAGGTGGAGCCTGTTGATGCTAATCCAACTATAAGCTCTCCCCTGATGTCACTCACGACGGGACAACAAAAAGTGAGGGCTGGAGGCTGGCGCCGCAGCAATTTAGGCTGCTGTACACGCCCCCCCTTGAAGGCACCTGGTTGGGTGCCTGGCCGAGGGCGTGGGCGCCAGCCAGGTGAGTGGGAGGCAGGGGGCAAACGCCCCCTGCTTGAGGCGGAGTCCGGCTCCCGCCACAACCACTCCCCTCTCTTGCAGGGAGGAGAGTCTTTCTGAATTGAGCCAATGTGTAGTAATGCCAAAGAAAACTTTGCAAAAACTGGTATACAAATTTTAAGTTAGATATAAAATACATTCAACCAAAATGAATCACTAATATGTGTGAAGTAACTGCAACAGTTAAGGTTAATATCTAAACTTTACCTTAACTTTACACTAAAAATGCATGGATAAATTCAGTTAAAACCACTGTAAAGGGAAATAATGAAGCAGTTTACATCAGTCAGAAATCAGGAAACAATCCTGAGAAATGTAATAGCATCTTCTAGAGCTTTAACATCTAAGCAGTAGAATACACACAGGATTTTCCAATATTCTGCACCATGTTGGTTGAAACAGCTAACCAGACCACCTAGGAAGACTCTCCGAGTATCAGCTAAAGAGTAAAAGCAAAAGTAAAACTACAGAACAGTGGAAACCCTACAAAAATGAAAGAAATTGGAAATAGAATCAAGAAACAACAAGCACCAACAGGGGATATTTGATTACTCTCACACTGAGATGGACATATTGACAATATTGTTGTAATATATGTGTTATATTTGTTTTTCCTGTTCCAAGTAATCCAAGGAAGAAAGTTGTATAGCAGTACATATTTACTTTTCAACTGTGAGACAATTAAGATGCCTTAACATGATAAGTAAAGCCAGTATGCAGGTAGACGTTTCTTTTATTTGTAGTAAAATGTTTATATTTGCACAATGAAATGCACAAATCAGTTTATAATAAAAACAATACGAAATTATTTTTAGAAATAAAATCAGAGTAAAATTCAATCATAAAATCATATAGTGGTCACTATAAGAAGCTCAAGGGGATAGAAATGGTTCTCTCCCATTTAATCCTCTCTGTAACACTAACCTGGTCCACATGACACAGTAAGCCCAACTATGGCAGCTCCCAGAGGGAAGTATGCAGCCATTTTTCTACCCTTCAGTCCATTTTCCTTCCACACCAAGCAATCCATTCATTTGTTGCTAGAGTTGTTATATATTCTATCCACTCATCGAAGGGAGCCACGGTATTATCTTTCCAATGAATTAATATCAGTCTTTCACGAAAAGAGCAAGCGCAGAAACTTAATTTATGTTGACCCTTTGCCATACCCTATATAGTTAGTATATAGTTTAAAACAATATTATCATCTGACAATACTACAAAAATTCTACCTAAGCATGTGCTCAGAAGCTATCTGCTTGTGAATGTCAAGTGTGTGGAGAGGTTTGGAGACTGAAGAGAAAGGCCTTTTCTCACACACACCCCTTCGGAGTCATAAGAAGAAAACTCTTTTTGAGCCCTGCATGAAGGCCTTATTCAGGAATGAAAGTACATGTAAGTTGCTGCCTGCTAAGATATGGCCCCTGCCACCAAAAGCTACAATTTAGGCATGTGTGTTATTCATAACTGAAGTTATTTTCACATATTTTTGTGCTTGGGAATATGTTCCTATGTGCAAGATGTAATGTATCCCTCTAACTCTTTTTTCTATATTGGATTAAAGGTTTTTAAAGTGTTGTTCTTATTAGACTTACGACTATTAAAAATGAAAATTTTAAGGAAGATATTGAAACATCATCTCAGATTAAGCAAAGTATAAAACTGAGAATTTACATTGGATATAATTGAATGCACACATTAAAAAAACCACAGATGGCAAACTGCAATAGCTGTTAAACTACACATACCTTTAGCTGCAGCCCCTGAGAGGAAACTGTGGTTGCAGGAAGTTCTTTAATATGTTGGTAGACATAAGAAGCACATTGCTCCTGTTCCGCCTGTAACTGAGGGGCAAGCTTAGAGAGGTGACCTTTGTAGCTCTTGATAGCTGCCTGCAGTTCATCAATCAACTTGTTCACCTGAAGGGTTAAATTATGAGAGCTGTTAGCAAGAGGCAATTGTTGATGTCACACCTATTAGAATGTTCATTATAAACCTGAAGGAAGAGATGACATTTCTCTGCAAAGTCTAGCAAAAAATATAGAATATCTGTACTCCCCCCCCCAATCTAGCCACCTATTGTAGAAAGAAATATACCCAAATAGATACACAAGAATGAGCAGGCAAATGTAATTAAATCAAAGGAGCTCTACTTTGTCCTATTTAAGGATGCTAAGATGCTTTAATATTGCTTGTAATTATTTTGAATTAATTAAAATGTATAGGTCATTTGCTACTAGATTAACATGTTCAGCCACTTAATGAATTTCTTAGAATGCATATTAGTAACAACAGGATGCTGCTTGGAGGTAATAAGCAACTAACAAGTCAAATAATAGTAATAATAACAGTTGTTATCGTTGTTATTGGAGGAGGGAAGCCAGAAACCAATAAAACTGTTAATCCAAGAAAGAAAGAAACGGGGGAAATGCTTTATCAGCAAACTGAAAAATGCTTTTTTTGTATAGTGGGTGGGGTGGGGTAAGAGGACAAAGGATGTGAGGCCCTTCTCTACATGTAATCCAAGTTAGGAGTAAGTGGGTGTACTTCCTTTCCCTAATATCCTGAAGATAAACTCTTCTTTCTCACCTCTCTTTTGTTTGATTCTGTGGTATGTTAAATATGCAAAGATGTTTTAACAGTGCATGCAATTACTTTCAATTGATTACAATGTATAGTTCATCTACTAAATAAACATGTTCCGTCACTTATTGAATTCTGTAGACCGCACATTAATAGTAACAGAGTGAAGATAAATATAAAACTCATATATAAAAGCTTGTAAATTTGTTATATCTGCAAAAAGAATTTTAAAAGAACGTTACTAGGAAGGGTGGCTGCCTAGAAAGGAAGGAAACGGAAGTAGTGGAGAGGAGTGTGTTATGTACAGAGCAGGGATGCAACGTCGCCAAAGTGCTGTGTCTCATGTCTCAGATAGTGCTTTAAACCAGATACGCTACACACTGCCTGCAATTAGGCTAAGTCTACATTTCAAGATATCTCTATTCTTCTTTCATGTAACTTTGATGCCTAGAATTCATTGGTGCTTTCCTTGCGCTTAGAACCATGCTGCAATCTCTCAGAAAGCGTAAGAAGTGTTTGTCCAGTCATCTAGAGCTTACCATTAAATATAATACAATGTGATACTGGACACTGCTGCTCCTAACAGAAGATTTGGGTTGTTTCTAGTCAAACATGGAAGCAGTGGAGAGAAAGATGGGATGCACCTCTGCACAGAGATCACAGCATTCGATCACATCGAGTAGCTATTCTTCTAGAATCTCTTTCCCAAAACATGTATCATCAGTTCAGGTTTCTTCCATTCTAGGACATGAAAGGCCTTATATTACCCTGCCTCTAGAAGAGTTAGCAGCCAGCAGTTCAGTTTAGCTGATTGCAGCCTCCTGGAGCTCATGGCCAGCACTTGTAAACAGACGCATTTGTGAGGGGCATTTTCAAGGAGAGGCATGGGTGTACAAAGGCCAAGAGACATGGACGGCAAGGTTTTTAAGCAGAGGTTGTATGACCATCTGTCATGGATGCTTTAGTTGAGATTCCTACATTACAAGGAGTTAGACTAGATGACCCTAGGAGCCTCCTCCAACTCTACAATGCTTTGAGTCATGCAAAGTCAGCAGCCATCTACAACAGTGTAGAACTGCTAATAGGACAGATAATGCTTGACAGCATAGTGGCAGGAATCCTGGGCATTCTGACCACTTAACACCAATTATTAGGGTACTGTCATCAGTTACTTTTGATATTATGTCTTTTTAAAAAATGAATTTATAATATATTTAAGTAAGGTAATGGGTAAAGGGGACCCCTGACCATTAGGTCCAGTCGTGGCCGACTCTGGGGTTGCGGCGCTCATCTCGCTCTATAGGCCAAGGGAGCTGGCGTATAGCTTCTGGGTCATGTGGCCAGCATGACTAAGCCGCTTCTGGCAAACCAGAACAGCGCACGGAAATGCCATTTACCTTCCTGCCAGAGCGGTACTTCCTTATCTACTTGCACTTTGACGTGCTTTCGAACTGCTAGGTTGGCAGGAGCAGGGACCGAGCAACGGGAGCTCACCCCGTCGCGGGGATTCGAACCGCCGACCTTTCGATTGGCAAGTCCTAGGCTCTGTGGTTTAACCCATCCTGTAAATAATTCTGACTGATTGTGGTGAATTTCTCACCCTTAATGGAGGCATCTGTTGAGCCATCCCAAAGAGATGCTACAGTCATTCTTTTTTTCTGGAGTGGTGACAGCTTTTACCAGGCCCACCAAACTGTGTGAGTGGTTCGATTTGCTAATTCTACTGCATCCACCATTTGGCACCATGCTGCTAGACAAGATTATTTGGCGTAAATCAGCAATGATGACAACGGAGAGCAACTTGCCATACCAAATATGACCCCAAGCCCATTTATGGCACTGGTTTTAAAAATAGCCAATTCCTTCCCTTTTATCCTTCATGTTCCAGGAAGATAGGTTGGGTATGCATAAGAATATCTTGTGAAGAGAATGATAGTTTGCAAGGCAATTCACTCCTAAGGCACTGCTGCCCTTGCCATTAACAACTATTAAGAAAAAGCAAGCAGAAGAACAAAAGAAAGTACATTATCCATATGAACTAATAGGGTAGACAGACAATGCCAAAATGTTTACATTGTAAGATGTGAATTGGTAACATTAGCATTAAATGAGGCAGGTTGTTTAGTCTTGTTTATATATTGTACCATCCTATACGTTAAAACCATGTTGCCTTTATATTTGAATTAAAACACTTTTAATGTATTTGTATAGAGCTTTACGGTGCTGCCATTATTTTTCATTATGTGAATACTGTTTGACACTCCAGAGTCATGTGTGTAATTGTTCTCTTTATATATGCCACAAGTATACAACCCCCACCAATGTATATACTGGTGGCATATACATAAAGAGAAGAATGACACACATTTTAAAGATGATTACTAAGGTTACAGATTATCAATTTTGCCTGCTAATTCAGCTTCATCGGTTCACTTAAAGTTTGTATGTGGACTTTGAGTTGCATCTTGATAAAAGAAAGAAGTATCTGTTATTATTTGTTAGTAATGCTCTTAAAGTTTCTCTGGCTACATCAGATGTACCTTTCATCAATAGACTATGCTACAAAATGTCTTTCCTGTTTTTTCTCACTCTTTTGGAAACAAGATAGTTTCAAAGGTCAATCTGCAAGTGACCAAAACCAACAATATCAAAAGTCTATGTTCCTGAACCATTGCACATTAGAATATTTTTTTTCTATTTCTCTATGCTGCAAAAGAAAAAGAAGAAAAAAGTCCCTATAAAATTCTTCATTGTGAATCTTTTTTTTCTAAAATAAAATCCCTCTCCCCCCATTCAAATACAATTGTGAAAGAAGACAAAACTTGACCTTTTGTGATCCCCGTATTAATAGGTCTGTTCATAATTCAGTCTGTGTGTGGAGAAGCATCCATGTGGAAACATGCAGGCCTGTGAGATATATAGCCTTTCCCTTTGCACATTATCTGACCCTATGAATCCTTCTCACAAAAGAAGGCTTTATGTATGCATACGTTGGGGGGGGGGCAATGCATACTCTCATTGTGCTTCACAAAACATGTACTCGTTCTCCAGGAAAACTCAGCATGGATTTGGTTGGATAGACTGCAAGTAGCCAGAAAAGGGAGGCTGCTGCTAAGAAGAGAGCCTATCTTTGTTTTGACTTCTTAGGTCAGATTTACATAGATGCATTTATTTTGCTTCTGTTTGGTGCTTTCTACAAAGCAAAGGTAAATATGTACGTAAGTGGGGTAGGGGTGGTTGCCTCTTCTAACTTTACTAACATACCTGCATTAGATCACCAGCAAAAAGCACCTGCTGGGTTGCTTTTCACTTTGTGAAATGTGTGTCCATAGCACACTCCAAGTATTGAGATATAATAAGCACATGCACACACAAGACCAAGGAACTGAGCTGTCACAGAACTTCTTCTGAAGCAACATACTGAGGAGTAGTGGATACAGAAGGAACCTAAGGTCACCTAATCTTCTCTCTGTGAGGTGGCATCCCAGTCATTCTGTCTTTCAACCCAATGTGCACCATTCAATGAAATCAGTGCCTTGCTTCCGCTTTGTTTTTCTGCTATAAAAACACAAACATATTCTATGACTTGAAGGAGAAATAGGTTTGGAAGTTGTGAGCAGCAACTTGTGAAATCTACAGAGCTGTGGAGAGGCTTGGCAGGAATTCCAGTACTAAGGGGACAGGCCAGGTGGAAGCAAACCCAATTTAGCCAGTAGATGAAAATTCAAAGAGCACATTATTAACAATATATGGGAAATGGACCACAACTAGAGATGGGGATGAAATTCAATTCAGTTTGCATCAAGGGTGAACACTTTCCAAAAAAAATTTGCAAACAGTATCAAAGATACCCTTTGAAATTCACACTTATCCAAATTTTGCAGTTCCCCAGTCAAGTAATGTGTACAAAAATGTATATACTAAAATGTGCCTATAAATGCATCTATTAGTGAAAGTGCATCATATTATGGGAAATCGCTCATGTAGGCCTACCTGGGGGAGAATGAATGTTCTTATGGATCTTGGGAAGGCAATAAAAAACTGGAATGCAAGGAAACGGAGGTAAAAGGAACTCAAAAGTATGTTTATCAATAACACCAATACAATAAGCTTGCTGTAGGACTGTTTTTAAAATAGTAACTATGGAATCCGTAGGATCTCTAGAAATTTTCACATTTTGCAACACAGGGGTTTGTTGGTTTACTCAAGGTTGGCAGAAGCTGGCACAGAGCAACAGGAGCTCACCCCGTCGCACATATTCGAACCAACGACCTTCTGACTGGCATGCCCAAGAGGCTCAGTGGTTTAGACCACAGCGCCAGTGCAGAAGTGCAAC